TATAAAGATTTAATTAAAAAGTACAACATTTGTATTCATTTTAATGGGTTTAGTACCATATTTATAATGTTTAAAGTTTACTAATAAAGATCATCATCAAATGTTTTTGACATTTTCGATATTATGGCTCAAGAATCTTGAACAAATTTCAAAATTTTCATGAAAGTAACATATTGATACCAAAAATTTCAAAATTTTCAAAACATTCAAATTTTCTAAAAAGTCGATTTTTTCAAATTCCTCGAGCTTTCAAAAAAAAAGCATTTAGAAAAAATGAATTACGATACGGGACGTTTCAGCAATTTACTTTAAAGTAAATTAAGATTTAATTAACTACCTCAAAGCATTTATCTTAAATGCCATGCAGCACTAGATAATATTTATATCGTTGCTATTGTTATTTCTGTCTCCTCGACAATATTTATTATTATTTTTTCAGAAGTTTGCAATTGCATTTTCGGTTTTTGACCAGTAAATAATCAATACTGACAAGTTGAAAAAAATACTGTATTAACGAGTTTTTTTTTTAAGCGGTTTTATGTGACATCAGCCTTACTATCGATTATACCAGCGGATATTTGATCGGAAAGTATAAAACGCTTTCTAGAGGAAATTGTGGGCTTTTATAGTTTGTTCATATAAAGTGGAAAGGAAATTGGCTGTTTGCTCTTTTTATTTTGTGAGAATTAAATTGAACCAGTTTAAAGCTGTTTTTAAATATTTATTTTATGAAATATTTTATTACTTACAAAGTACTACTTTTAATTATATGTAGATACGATGTTTAATCATCAATGTTTTTTATTTGTAATACGTCAGCATATTTTATTATTTGAATCACTTTTTAAGGTGCATCCTTGTCATTAGGTAGGACATTTATTTGCATATTTGATTTTATGTTTGTAAAGGATTAATGATTTGCCATCAATGAACATGTCTTCATGTATTAAATTAGTATTGTCACATTTATAATCTGTATCAGTATTGAATAATGCAGATGTATTGCAGATACCGGATTCTGTTGACATGTACTTTGATAAGTCAATATCAAACTTCAATCATGCGTATTCAGCTATGTGCTCTTGCTAAAGTAAACTCGAATGGAATGTTTCATTAAATAATAAAATACATATTAAATTTATATATTTTTACGAACATTTCTTGATTTTATTTATTAAAAAAAATTGTTATAAACTATGATGAACGATAGTGATTACAGATGATTACAGACAGATTTAAAAAATTTTGAGATAATTAAAACAAAAACTAGTGGTGCATGGCATCGTACCTTGAGGCAAATTGCTGGAACTTTCTGTATCGAAAATTAAAATTCTTAATTTATAACTTTTGATTAGAGCACTCGTATTGCGTGGAATGGTTAGAGATGAAATATCAAAGCGCCTAAGCGCCGCCTCAAAAGTTTTCTATACATTAAATTAGGTGTTACATTTTCGGTCCCATTGACCAAATGCATTTTGATCTCTTAACCTCTCGAAGATCAATTTAATAGGATAATCCCTTTTTATAATAATAGAATTAGAAATGTCATAAAAATACGTAGTCCAGAACACTCATGAATTGAAGCAAAAATTTAATTCAATTACATATACCTGCAAGTTTTAATAAGCAAAGTATTAACCCCACAATTACTATTCATACAATTTATGGTTTTATCTAGTATGAATTCTGAATAATAGTACTTTTTACCTATAGATTTGTTACTTGATTTGCTACAGAGTATGAAAAACATATTTAATTGTAATTGTAATTGTAGAAAAGAGCCTTGAAGGATATAAAACAGTTATAATACTGTAAAATTTTTACAAAAAACTATTTTCTAATTTGCTTTATATAACAATATTCCTTCAATTTTTCTTTTTACAAAACCATATCCTTTACTTCTATTGAAAATCATTGTACGTGAATTTAGAAAAGCAGTTGAATTTTAGGTATTATTTTTTAATTTCGGCAATAGTGGATTTTGCCTTTGCATTAACGCAAGTATGTATCTCTAAACTCTTCGGGATTTTGAAGACACGTTGTTACTTATAAAATCTATGTGCAACGCAATTACACAACGCAAGTGTGCGCAATTTAATTCGTATTTTACGACACGGTCTTATGCAAATACAGAATTTTGGGATTGCCTATAATAATATAATGCCGACCCTAGCAGGAGCCCAAGAGATTAGTAGTATTTATATTATCCTGCCAGGTATGATCGTTTAAGAATATTATATTACACAGGTTCTGAAACAGCGAGTCATTTCATATGAGTAAAATTTCAATAAAAATAAGTTTTAATTTTCAAACATAATTTTCGTTTAAAATAATTAATGTTATTTGTGTTCATCATATATAGTAATATCGTATTAATTTGAACTTAAGGTTGTGGTAATTGACATAAATACTTCGTTTTTTTTAGAAGTCGACCTAATGGTGAACCAATGGTCAACCACTTTGATGAATTTATTATTATAATTTCTATTATACCAATGATTGTTTTTAATGATGCAGTAAAGGTATATTTTTACTTAGAAACATATGGTATTTAATATTTGCAAGTAAAAACCGATGCCTCTACTGCTTGACATAAGGCTGTTTATCAACTTCCCGTAGGGTAGGTTATTGTAATGGGCCTAAAATCGAAATTGAAAATTTTTACATTTCTCAACGTTTTGAAGGTTGGATTGAAGGAAAATGGATGTGTGTGTGTATGTATGTATGGATACAAATTTCCAGTCACGTTTTGGGGCGCACGGATCAACTGATTTGAATGGTTCAAAAAACATTTGCTATTGATAGGGAGAAGAGCTGATTAGTTTTTGACAAAGGCAGGTCCAGCCGTTTCGGAGATACGGAGCAAAGAGTGCAGAAAATAGAAATCGAGTTTTTGAGAGAACGGAGCATCCGATTTGAATGATCTAAAAAACATTCAATTAGTAATGATTGGGTGAAGTGGTTATTAGTGTCAAAGGCAGGCCTAACCATTTCGGAGATACAAAGCTAAATGTGCAAAAAATGGCAGTTTTTGAGAGAACTAAGCGTCCCATTTGAATGATTCAAAGAACTTTCTGCTTGTTTTAACAAAATAATTGATTTTGGAAAAAAACAAATTTTTAGTTTCAAAAAATTTTTTTTTCAATTTTTTTTTCATAAAAATTTGTTTTTAACGTCGTAATCGTAATTCTGACTAAAGTTCTAATATACTTTAAATAAATATGTTTAACTTTGCAATTCAGTTTATATAATTCTTATAAATATTAGACAATGCTACAATATTTATAATCATCTATTTGAAAACATTCAATATTTCTCGAACATTTTGTTACGTTACGGGAAATTCCAGCAATTTGTCTTAAGGCACGATGTCATACACCCCACTAGTTACTATTTATTTTATATAAGTTTTAATAATGCCTGGTTATATATTCATTATTCTAACAATATTTAAATTTATTTCATAGCTAAAAATAAGTTGAAATACATATTGTTAAATATATCCATTATGCAAAAACTAAAATAACAAAAACCTAAATTTACTTTATTTTTTTTAAGATTTATATTTATTTTTAAGAATTTTATTAAATAGTATTTGGAATTACAATTATAATTATGATGATTTGGGTCAGGCCAGGCCAGACATCAAAACTTTCTTTGAAAAATATTATCTACGTGTTCAAAATTTCGTAACAGCATTATGCAACAAAACTTTAGAAACCATTGATATTCAGATTTGTAATGTTTGGGGTTTGTAGTGGTTGTCGAAACACCACGAAAGTGGTGTCTTTTTTCTTGAATCTCATTCCTAGTCAGTTCCTTCGGTAAGACGTTAGTTTCCGAAACGTTTTATAAACGCGTTTGTTAATCGCGAAGTCTAAAAATAAAATAAAAAATAAATAATTAGTGCGACTAAAGATAGTGATAAATACTTAAGCATTTTAAAACAGTTTTCTAAATTTTGTGTGCATAAGTACTAACAGATTCTAAAAAGCGTTTTATTAGTTTTTGAGTTACTTTAAATTTTCTTCGAAATTTATTTCAAGTTGTGATGTTGCAATTGAACTTAAACTGATTTTAAAACTTTTTTTAACTAATCAATGATAAAACCGTGTCCCGAGAAAATCATTTCGTTCATTGAATCGTCCGTGGTTCATTGCACAGACGTTTTCCTCCGCATATCTTCATCTGTTGTCAGTGTTGCTCTCAGCAAAATCGTGATGGAAGTGGCTTACGGTTATCACTGGTTGAACAATAAAAACCGCCAAAATAGTTTATCTCACTCAAACAAGGATCGATGTCAATTGGATGTAAATGCAAGCCATTTATCCAAAAATATGCATCGTTTGGACGGCGATATGTCGCGTATTGACGATGGAATGGACAATTTAAAATTGGATCTTGACGCTTTCGAAGATATGTTAGGTTGTTTTCGATCAGGGGTTGGAGATCTTAGGGAAGAATTGGGTGACCTATGTTTGGAATTGCAAGAATTTTTAGAAAAAGTTGATTGTGAAACTTTGCGGTGTGTTTTGGAAGCAGATTGTGACGATTTCAGTTCAGATGGTTTGACATCCGAGCGATCGTTATCGGACGAGTCAATTTTGGCCCGTTCGATATCTGATACAGATTTTGAATATGAGGTACAGGAGTTTGGATACTTTTGATACATGAGCACTTTGATCATTTTGAAATATTTGTTCGTTGATATGTATAAAATATAAATTACCGTCTTTTGTTTCAATACAAAAATATCAAGTCATGCAAAAAAATCTTTTGGTACGTTTTTATATTGCATCATTCATATAAGATGTAGCTTGCGTTATGAGATATTATTGCATTTAAAAAAAAAAATAATAAATGTTAACTATTTCAGATTTATTTTTAACTATGCTTCATCTACTCGTTGGCATAACTATAATATTTTAGAAAATAGTACTAATTTTACTTGCTAATAGAAATATCTATGTATTTATCTAATGTCTCATGTTTTATTACAGCCCCCAGAGAATGAACTGCAGAAAACATCTTCAGCTTCGATGTCCGAACATCAGCTTCGCGTGCAGCGCTCGTTGCAGCGACTGGATCTCCCAGACTGGTACAGGCAGAGTCAGGTGCCTCGCGAAGGATTCCTGCTGAGAAAACGATCATCGCCTGATTGCGACACAAGACCATCAGCCAATCGCTGGACTGGGTTGAACTCAAAAACAACATCTTTAAATTCCTTAGGCAGTGGTTGCAGGACCAGGGACGGAACCAATATAATACAAGGACCGAATGCAAATTGCACTGGTTCAAGTGTTAATTCTGGAGGTTACTTGTTGTCACCATCGACGAACCGAGACTTCTGCAGGTAAAATTAAATAAAATATCCCATGTCATATTTCTATGTTAATTCTTACAAAATTTGGTGTAAATGAATAAGAGATTAATGGTTAAAATTGACAAATTAGCGGGTTAAATGCAATTTTTTTTAAAGTAAACGTTTAACAAACATCAATGCAATGCTATTTTTTATAATCCATACATTATTACATTATTTATATTGTTTTTTATAATTTTTAACTTCCCGAAGGAGAAGTTTATGTTTTCATCAAAAAATCCGATTTGCTAATTTTGTTTTCTCGACGTTTCAAGCCATTCTGAATCGAATGAGACTAAATTTGGAAAAAGTATGTGTGTGTGAACAGATTTTTTTGCCGTAAATCGACGTTTTCTCAAAAATGGCTGGACCAATTTCAAAAATTTAAAAGCCATTCGATGTATCTCGATGAGGACTAGCGTTGATCAATTTTGCGACGACGATCAGCCAAGCCGTTTCTTTGTAAATAGAAGAAAAGTGAAAATTTTTTTGTCCACGTTTTAGCCCGCAGTTCTGAATCGATCTTGAAAATTCAAAAACCGTTCAAAAGATATTCATTGGGAATCGTGCTGATGAGTTGTTGGAAGTGATCGGCCGGGCCGTTTTCTTGTAATAAAGTGTTAAAAAATGTTTTTTTCGACGATTTTTATTATTATTTTTTTAACGGTAGATACCATAGTCTTCTAGATCATACGAAAATATTACGGCTCCACGACAATTGGTCTAACTTTGAAATTTCGTCAAAGTTTGCAAAAATTAGTATCGTTTTTTTTGGCATTTGACAAAATCAAACCTTTGATCGGCGTTTTCTCAAAAACGCCTGAACTGGTTTCATAAATTTAAAAGCCATTTGATGTATCTCAATGAGGACTATACTTTGTCAGTTTGTGAGACGATCTGCCAAGTCGTTTCTTTGTAATTTGAAAAAAAGTGTTAAACTTTTCATCCACATTTAAGCTCAAACTACCGAATCGATTTTAAAAAATCAAAAACTGTTCGAAAGATATTAGTTGAGAATGATACTGATTAGTTTAAGGTGAAAATCTACCGAGCCGTTTTCTTGTAATTAACTGTTGAAAAAAAAATTCATACGGATTTTTATGGAACTTCTTTTGGTGATATATATCATTGTCTTATAAAACTTACTGAAATATCACGGCCTTATGATTTACTTTTAAAAATTAATCAAAGTTTGAGAAAATGAGTAGTTTTTTGACGTTTGTTAAAATCAAAATTAGACGATTTACTTGGTATAACGATAGAGTACTTGATCTTAATGAACATACTAAACCATTAAAGTGCTATGAAAACTGGTTCAATTATAAAAATTATTGATTTGTGAAAATTTGCTTTCAGAAAATTCGAGTCAACGTGTTCGTTCGTTTTCAATTATGTGTAATAAATCCACTCGGAATACTTCTAATCAATCATAAATGAATTTATTTTTTATTGATTAAGTCGATTATTTACACATATCGGGAAGTTCGTGTAACTTGCCTCAAGGCAAAATACCAATGCCAACTAGTTTTTTGTAATAAACGTATAACAAATATCAATGTAATGCTATTTTTTATAATCCATACATTATTCATATTGTTTTTTATAATTTTTAATTTTTTTATTTAGGTGGTCTACCTCCAAATTAAATTCTTCACAAACTTCTCCATCGAGCAGCGTTCGGAGCAGTTTTAGCAGTAGAACCACAGGTCCAGTGATAACCAGCGCAGGCAGCAACTCGCTAAGAAGTAGTTTTAGACAACCCTATATGGGCTGGAGAAGCCAAGAAAAATTGTCCAGGCCTAGAACACCAGCCGAAAGGTTAATAATAACTTATTGGAATACGAGATTATAATTATTATTTATTAACTTCCCTTAGGGTAAGTTATTGTAATGGGCCGAAAATCGAAATTGAAAATTTTTACATTTCGATGTTTTGAAGGTTTTTGAACATTTTGGCATACCTCAGAAAAAATGGATGTGTGTGTTGTGTGTATGAATGTATGGATACAAATTTCCAGTCACGTTTTCGGGCGCACGGATTAACCGATTTGAATAGTTCAAAAAACATTCGATTCCTATTGATAGGGAGATGTGCTGATTAGTTTTTGGCAAAGGCAGGTCCAGCCGTTACGAAGATGCGGAGCAAAGAGTGCAGAAAATAGAAATCGAGTTTTTGAGTGAACGGAGCATCCGATTTGAATGATCTAAAAAACATTCAATTAGTAATGATTAGGAGAAGTGACTTAGGTTTTGGCAATGGCAGGCCCAGCGGTTTCGAAGATATAGAGCTAAATGTGCAAAAATGGCAGTTTTTGAGAGAACTAAGCGTAATTCAAAGAACTTTCAGCTTGTTTCAACAAAATAATTGATTTTGGAAAAAAATTGTATCATTTTTTTTTTTTTAGTTTTTTTATACATGGAAAATAATTCATATTTTATTTTTAATTCTGACTAAAGTTCTAATATACTTTAAACAAATGATTTTAACTTTGCAATTCGGTTTACATAATTCTTATAAATATTAGACAATGTTACAATATTTATAATAATCTATTTAAAAACATTCAGTATTCCTCGAACATTTCGTTACGGTACGGGAAGTTCCAGCAATTTGCCTTAAGGCACGATGCCATATACCCCACTGGTTATTTATTAGTATTATGAAATGTTATATATCATACATAAATAATATTAAATTTTGGCATATTATTTGATGTTTTTTTCATACTCTAGGTTGGCTATATCGATGCCCCAACAACAGCAACAAAAACAACTACAAAATCAGAAACACCAGCAGAACAACAATAACAACATTATTTTAGATGCTCAAACACCTGAAATTCAATCATCAATTAAAGAAGTGACATCTGCAATTGTCCACTACGTTTCGGACGCGCATTCTCGTCTTCAGCAGGGGGCAAACGATGCCTCTAAGCTGCCTCCACCGAGTGGAAGATCTCGATCGGCGAGTCCAAGTCAAAGGTTTTGTTGGTTGGAATCTTCCTTTGTAGGAACTAGACCGTTGGATTCTCCCCAAACGCCAACTTTGGCAAAAACTTTCGAAGATTCGAACGATTCGAGACGGGACTCCGGCTTAAAGTTAGAATTGAGGCGGCCAGAAAGATTGAATAACGGTAAGCTGTAAAAATTTCTAATTTAATAACAGCTTTAGTTGATAAAGGTTAATTTAATATAGATTGCAAAATGTGTGTATGAATGACATGAGTACTTAAGAAGGACTCGCGTGAATTATAACAAATTTTAATGCAAATAGACCTGTAAACATTAAATATTTAATATATATTTTGTTCAGTTATAAACTGTTTGATATAAATCGATAGCAATATTAATCATTATTAGACAAAATAAAAAAATCATTAACGCTTGTTCGAATATTAAATTTCTTATATTTGAGGCTTTGATATCTAACCGAAAATTAACTACAAAATATTCAATACCATAATATAACTGATCATCATTATTTTTATTGTCATTAACATTTTTAACGCAACTAAAAAAGGCGCATTCTAGATCTAGCAACAACTGACAAATAATTATTTCAAGTTTTTTTAAAAATATAATGGATAAAACTATGGTTGATTTTTTAAGATTGAATGATATATATATATATATATATATATATATATATATATATAATATGTGTGATCCAAATTAACGCAGCATATTATTTAAAACCACGAAAATGTGTATATAATATATTATTTTAAGTTGTAATTAAACCCTTGCCTTTAAATTATTTGTTTTATGATTTATTTAAAAAAAATTTAATGTTTGTTTAATGTACGTGAATTTTGTTTCACTAGCATCATTATTTTCATATCTATGTTTTTCATAATTTTGGTTTGTAATTTCTGGATTCACTTTTTTATATCCATTTTCAGAGTATTGATTATAAAATGCGTTTATATGATATAAATATATTTTGTTTGAGAACAATGTTTTAAATGCCTGCCAGTATAGATGTCCCTTTAATTTTGGATATTTTGTTCACAACATATTCTTTATGTTGATAAATTGCTTATATTTTGCACTAAATGAGAAATGTATAAATTTATACATTAATAATTTAAAAAATACGTGAGTTATAGTACAAATGGATTGGTAGCTATACTTTATAATTTTATATGTTACGACTGATTAAATTGACTGAAAAGGTTTGCATCTCAGGCATTAATAACAACGTTCTGGGTTGAAAAACTTTATATATTTATATTAATGTGTTATATAAAAAATACGATATATATATATACATACATATTTGTACGTATTGTTAATCTTCTTGTTAACATTATTATAAGTATTATTTAATAGCCTACATGTGACTTATTTAAATCTATGATTAGTGGAGTTAATTATGGCGTTTCAGAATTATTATTTTAAGCCAAGCTTCTTTAATATAATTATTCCTTTAACAGTTTCTCAAATTGTTTGGTCATTTAAAGAAAAATGAATATCTTTTGGTATAAATTATTTATTTTTTGGCTTAGATTTTTACTTACTTTTTTTAAAAATTATGTTAGCTTTTCAAATATTGTAGATTGACCATTAGATAATATCATTTTCACAGAGTGTATCATTGTATTTATTTCACCATTCTAAATTTTTGCATTTATTGTTTTTATATAACTCGAATAATTATATAGTTACATTTAGTAATATACTTATTATATATTGCGTCAGCTTAAGTTAATTTTTATTTAGGATAAAAATCACCTCTTGATTTATATTTTAATAAATTAAAAAGGTTTTGATAAATTGTACATTTTTTCATAATTTGGTGCAAGCAAATAAAATTTATATGAAAAACAATATAACATAATCCCGTAATATATTTTAGTTCTACGTTTTTTATGAGATTTAATTTTTTAATATGTATTTGCATTTTTCTTTGGTATATTTCATAATAGATTTTATTTGTTTCATTAAATTTTTATTTGCCTTATATATTATAGTTATTGTATTATTTCACATTTAGGATGTGTATAATTTAGCCTTTGTATTTATTGTTTAGATATTATTTGTATTTGTTCATATCATATTATCAACGTTTCATATTATAATAAAATATAATTTTCTTAATTTTGTGTTTTCAATCCCTATATATATGTATATATATATATATATATATATATATATATATATATATATATCATTCCCATCTTTCTTCATTCATAACTGTAAAGGTGTTCTTAAAATTGTTTTTAATGTTTGAAGGGTTTTTTTTCATAAAAAAATAATAGCTTTGCTTTCAAATATATATTATAATACTAATATCGTATACTGAGAAGGTAAGTGTGATATATAAATATAAGCTGATTTTTTATGGTACATATATATAAATATAAATTATAATCACGGAGACATGATATAATAAGCTAAATTATTTTTGAACTACAATAAAATATTTTTTTATATAATTTTGCTTAATATTTAGTTTTTTCAAATACTTCATTGAAAGTATATATATATATATTTTTTTTCAGTATTATTAATTAAATTCGGTGATAATTTTTACAATTAGTAAATTTACTTTTTAGTATTGATTTTTGGTAACTGATTCGTATTGATTTTTCTACTATATGAATATAATTATTTGAATTAAATGATTTTACACAATTAAATTTGTCGTATGTACCATTTCTACAAAACAATAATTTAATTTATTTTACAATTTGCGATTCTAATATATGAGAACTATTCTAATATAATTTTAATGTATAAACTACTTTTCCGGATGCTTAATTAAGATCATGGTCAAATACATAATATAAACTTTCATTCAATTTAAACTTAATAAAATTATCTATAAATTCTATAACATTTAATATAATTTATTATGAAATTGTCTAATACATCTCTTGTAATTAATTATTTAAATAACGATTTTTCCTAATAATTTGTATGAAAGTTCCTAATATTTAATATAATTTATTATAAGATAAATTAAATCGGTTTTCATTATTGTCGCTAACACATGAATTATACCCACACTCAACGTAGACATAGTTTAATTTAGTTTAAACCTAATATTTCGAGTGTGTGTGTGTGTAAAAGTAAACTTTTATTTGGTCGTTTTAGTGCACGTTTCTGAGTATTCGCCAGCCGGATCGTTGGAACCGTCGACTACGCCGGGCTCAGCCAGCCTGGAGGATGTCCTGGCTTCGCTCCTGGGACTGCGGCCTTCTTCTGCTGCGTCGTCCTCGCACCATGCGCCCGGGCTGTTGCCGGCAGGTACGCCCGACGTGTAAGTTGCAACCCAAAATCCATGTCAAATTATGTTGAACGTTACTCCCAGCAGTGCTCGGAAATGAACATGAATGAATGAAGAGTTGTAGAACTGGGGATAAGCATAGATATTAGAAGGTTTTTAGTTATTTATTTTATTGTATTTATATTATATTATAATAGCACATAGGGAATGCAATACCGGTATTTTCGGTATTTTTACATAAGCGCTATTTGATACATAATACACTAAAGTTTAAATTTCTCGGAACAAATTTATCTTTAAATTCCATAATCGCATAAACAGCTATATCTTCAAGTGATTCTATAATGTCAAATATTATCTCAACCTGTCATTAAACTGAATATTTATTGCTTTACTAACGGCTTCATATCGTGTTACAATAAATAGATTTGGACTGATGAATTACGATGTTTGTTTCATCTTTTGTAAAATTGTAACGATTTTTTAAGTGATATTTGCGCCAAAATATTTTATATCATACATATTACCCCTGCGTAATCTTTATTTTTTTCTAACTTTATACATAATAATTATGATAATTACTAAATATTTTTGCTTCTTATTACAATTATAAAATATTATTTTTCGACGAAGTTTCGAAGTTTGAAAATACTATAGAAGCACCACATTGATTTAAATAACAATACTCAACAATTATAGTAACTTATTATTTATATCGATCTTAAATTATATATTTGTAGAAAAATTATTTTTTTAAAATATTGGAGATTATGCTAATTTAATACATCGGATACAGACAATACAGTTTATTATAATAATGTAATCTGATCTTTTATGATTTTTTGGTCTTTCTTACTATTGGATATACTTTTGTTAAATTATTATTTAAAAAAATAAACTTATCGTTTTATTTGATCGTTTTTATTGTTTAGTTGAATATAGTTGTAGTTGTATAGACATTTTTTTATATTTGTACTTGTAACTTTCAATTTTGTTTACGTTTGTTTAAGATAATAAAAACACCGGTAATTTACCGGTATTCCGATTTTAAAATGAAAAATTACCGAAATATCGGTATTGAAATTTTTCATCGGTATTGCATTCCCTAATAGCACATATAAAAGTATTGCTATACAATTTATTTATGTGCTTCGCATGCATTTATATTTGCATGTGTATGGATATATGAATGTATTCAATTTAATGTAAAACATTCATCTAGTGTTTTTGATTTATAGAAAAAAGCAATTATTAAAATAATTATTACTTCTGATAATAGTTTAGGTATTAACGTGTAGAATATTTGTGATAATATCCTATGGAACAACCAGTTAACTGTGGCGCACACATCGAACAATGCACACAGTTTTGTGTCGTCCGAATCGAGCTCGGATTGTTTATTTGTCACTCCAGAGTATGTTGCGAGTAGGTACATATATTTGTCAATCACAGTTAACTGGTTAAATCTTAATACACTAATTTTTTATTTTAGACATTATATTTTTGTTTTTAAACAATTTCATTAAGAGACAGGCCAAATATCGCTTTTTTACAACGAAAGGGCAATATTCTACTTGTATTTTTATTGTTCGTGCTTCTTTCCTTAATTATTATTAAGTTTAAAAATTATTGTTCATATAATTTTATATAAATTATACATACTAATGTTATCACATAATAATTTTATACCACTGTTTAAGGTTGATAATATAATTATCCACTCTTTGAATGTTTTTTTGTTAGTTTTCTTGAGAATTATTTAATATGATATTAAAATATATTGTTTTAAATCTATTCACTCAAATTTCTATGAATTTGTGTACATTATAATTTGATAGCTTAGATTCGATTTATACTCACAAAAGATTTTAAATAATCATTATTATAACATAACCACCCCGTCGTATTTCAAATCATAGTAATTTTGTTGCAGAATTAGAAGATACAGCTAGTATGGCCGATACTATTAGGCACAAAGGCGACAATGACAGGGGATCAGATACTCCTATCGAGGGTCGCAGAAAAATCAGTCAAACGCTTCAAAACAATTACTCAACCGACCAACAGATGGTCAAATGCCGAAATAGTAATTGCAATAAAATTGCAGAAACCGCCGATGCTAAAAAGTTGTACAAAAACTGTCACAATTGTAGCTATATGTATTGCTCACGCGAATGTCGCAGAGCTCATTGGGAAAAACATCGAAAATTTTGCCTTCATTCTCGAGTTTCCACACTTTGCCGGCACGTTATTAATTCTGCGAAAGATGATGAAATGTCTTTACGTCACATTTCACTGATGGCAAGACAAGGTTACGAGACTCATGGGCGAGGAGTCGTCAAGCTCACGTTCAAAAGTCCCGAAAGCGCCGAATGTTTTGTTAAAAATGGGTTTCAAAAAATCGGAGATCTCAAGTATATTAAATGGCCAGATTTGGTTCCTGCTGAAATGGGTTCTGAATTATACTCCGAATTACTACGATTGTGCACTGCCTATGAACCCTTAAATAAGCTCGTGCTTTATGTTAGCGTGTGCGTAGTTTCTGAGGCTCCAGGCTCTGGTGCTGTTAAATGGGAAAGGCAGCTTGTATCTAGATGCGCTAAACTGAGGTTGGCGAAAAGCGTAATCAGCGAGACCATTGCCAAAAAAAACAGCGAGGAATCGGCAAACGAACCAGAAACTATAATATTTACCCCACTTTCCGGTGACGGTGCATCACAAAAATTGCGAGAGTTGTTTGTAGAAAATATACATAGGCACTTGCGAAGAAAAGGAGTTAATCTGCGACGTCACTTTCCAGAAATTCACTCGAAATTGAGTTCTTATGCGGATGTTGGTGGCGATAGATTTGCCCCATTGACCATCCATCCGAAAGATGAGTGTAGCGGCAAAACTTTTATGTGCATCATTATGCCAGTTGTTGACCGCGAGAAATTAAGTGATTTGCCTGTGGATAGAGCTAGAATCAAAATTGTTGATATTAGTTTAAAGCAAGAAAATGAAGCGCCGTCGACTGTGTGAATTTTCATCTGAAACTTACTAAGTGATCCGCATCCTTATTATTAAGCGTATGACTATACTCGTTTTTTCTTCGTACAAAGTAGGATATGTTGTTTTTTTGCTACATTAATTTATATAAATTGAATAAGTTTTGATATTGCCATTTATGTGAGGCATGTATAAGTAAAGACACCAATTGAAAACATATAAAAAATTGATATGATAATATCGTTACATTGAAATTCGTTAGTGAATGCCGTTTTAATCGAAATATATAGAAACTATGTTATATCTTGCAAAACTTATATAGTAGTAAGCAATTTAAAAAATATATTGTATTTTTATCGTTAACGTTATATTCTAATTACGTTTAGGCAGAGTTTAATCTAGCAAATTTTATGCATAGAAAGAAGTAGCGTTTACGCCAAATAATGAATTTATTTTTTGATATGACTATGTGAAATATATAAAAAATAGTAATCTCATATATATACATATTATTCAAAAACGAAGTGCTGTATAGTTAAAAATATCAAAAAATGTAACACCTAGAACATATAGATACTTTTCAGTTTGTGAACCTCACTTGTAAAGGAAAGCCCATGTGTGGGGCGCTTAAATACTAATTATCGATGAAGTCATAAATTTATAATTATCTTCTTGTTATTAAAATGTAATAAACGTTATTTAATAATTACTGTAACAGCACACTTATTTTTGAATGCGTAAATATAGTTATGGGTAACAGTTATTATCTGCTACGAAAAGGCATTTTTGTTTGATAAAGGCAGATTTGTTTGATAATTGCTTGTAATTAACTAAAGAGAATATTTCGAATTTAAAATAGTTCATTATATATTTCATCTTAATAAAATAATTTCAGTGAATGTTCTTCAAATAAACATTATCGATTCATTAATAAAATAAATCATTTTATATACATTAATAAATCATTAAAAATTATTACTTCTCAATTACTTCATAATTTTCTCTTTTTTTAAATAAAATTCATAATTGTGCATACACTACATTATCATGATCATCAAGATCAAAACAACCTTCAACTAATAATAACAACTAGTATGTATTTTTTAACACAATATGTTATTGAAAAATATGGGCATTGAGTTGTTCTGTATAATTATCTGTAGGTATATACACTTTTGAACTTTTACCATCATGAGTCAAAATATTAATGTAATGCCGTAAATGATGTGCCAAACAATGTTTGTAGTTTTTGTACCATGAAATGATTTTAATATTTATTTAATTCGATTTGTTTCGGTATGGACCCATAATGAATGCCTTTGGTGTAGTAGAAAATTTTGCAAATAATCACATTGTTCATAAAAGGACAGGTCGATTTATATGGGTAAAAAAAGTCGCATAGGCACATATGATTTACGGATACTAAGTATAACAATAAGATACTTTGCCGAAGAAACCATATCTGTAAAATGAATTCTGATGTCCCGTGCATTGACCCAAAGATTGAGTTAAATTTTGATAAACCCTGTTTTGGCTCATTTAGAGCGCCCCAATAGTGTCCAAATGTATGACCGACCCCCACTAACTTTGGAAGGCCGATCTACGAGAGGTCCCCTATACAAAATTGCATCATTTTTGGAACTTCAACATGACAAAATTCAGCGATTTATTTTTATTATAAAGTTTGTTTAATCATAACATATGCAAATAATACTATTTAAACTTATAAATTTTGCTTGAAGTCTTTGTTGGGGTCAAATTTGGAAAATTTAGCACAGCTCTCTAAATGTTTTCGCCATAACTGCCTCTAGCTAGCATAGAAACGCAGAGCCAAAATGCATTGAAAAAAATGAAACAAAAAATTTTAATTTTTTTTTATGTAAAAAAGTTTTTTGTGTGTGCATGAATTAGTATCCGAAAAAAAGGGTTTCAAAAAAATATTTATTGTTAAGTAAAATAGCAAAAACGATGATTTTTTGCAATTTTTGAATGGGAGACCTCTAAGTAGTCCCAGGGGTTGAACGATGGGCATGAGTGGATCGGCTTTTCAAAGTTATTGGGAGTCATACATTCGGATGCGATTGGGCCAAAACGGATTTTTTCAAAATTTAACCCTTATCATTGGGTCAATGTACGGGACATCAGAATTCATTTCAGAGATATGGTTTCTTCAGCAAAGTATCTTATTTTGATCCCTAGTATCCGAAAATCATATGTGCTTAAGCAACTTTTAAATCGACCCTCCCCAATATATATATATATATATATATATATATATATATATATATATATATGTACATCATAATTTTTCCATTCCCAAAATGTGATAACTTCAAAATAGAAATAAAACTGTTTTTCAATTCAATGTGTGTATATTTGTGTAGTTTTTAAACCATTTAAATATTTTTAAACCATTAAAATATTCCATATTATTTTTTATATGACACGGAAGGGTAAAACGGCCGAAAAGGGTAAATTATAACGATTAAACTCTAAACTACGTAATATATTTGATCAATTGATCATGCTTCGACAACATTATAGTTTGTCCTTGTTAGAAACACACGCATGTATCATAAATTTCAATTTTTTAATTTGAAAATCTGTGGACTATCATTGTCCATGTCCATTTTTAACTTCCCGTAGGGTAAGTTATTGTAATGGGCCGAAAATCGGAATTGAAAATTTTTACATTTCTCGACGTTTTGAAGGTTTGTGAACGTTTTGGCATACTTCAGAAAAAATGGATGTGTGTGTGTGTGTGTGTATGTATGTATGGATACAAATTTTCGCCCACGTTTTCGGGCGCACGGATCAACCGATTTGAATGGTTCAAAAAACATTCGATTCCTATTGATAGGGAAAAGAGCTGATTAGTTTTTGGCAAAGGCAGATCCAGCCGTTTCGGAGATACGGAGCAAAGAGTGCAGAAAATAGAAATCGAATTTTTGAGAGAACGGAGTATCCGATTTGAATGAACTGAAAAACATTCAATTAGTAATGATTGGGAGAAGTGTTTATTAGTTTTTGGCAGGCCCAGCCATTTTGAAGATACGGAGCTAAATATGTAAAAAATGGCAGTTTTTGAGAGAACTAAGCGTCCGATTTAAATGATTCAAAGAACTTTCTGCTTGTCTTAACAAAATAATTGATTTTGGAAAAAAAATTTCGTTCAATTTTTTTTTTTTTTTTTAGTTTTTTAGTTTTGTGTATATCGAAAATATTTCAGATTTTATTTTTAATTCTGACTATAGTTCTAATATACTTTACAAATAATTTCAACTCTGCAATTCAGTTTATATAATTCTTATAAATATTAGATAATGTTACAATATTTATAATAATCTATTTGTAATTCAGTATTTCTCGAACATTTCGTTACGGTACGGGAAGTTCCAGCAATTTGCCTTAAGGCACGATGCCATAATTGCCTCAAGACAGAATTCCACTTACAGCTAGTTACAAGTTTTTATTGATTCATATGAAACTAATAATTAAGCATATATTAAAACTGTTGCTTTACAACTTTATATTCCTAAAATTCTTGCTCGAAGCATTATATGCATGCTATATAATAGTTTATTTTAGGAATATTGCAAAACTTGTACAAAATACTAAAGTACTACTAAATTTTGAATTCAACATTTTTGCACATTTTGGTCATTGTAAATATTGTTTTAAATATTTCTATTAATAACTTCTGAACATGATTTCTAATCTGTCTCTGCCTAGGAGCAGAATCTGATTGGGTCGTCTCATCTGGAGTTCTTTTTGGATCCGACTTTGGTCGACCGGGTCTCTAGTCGACTAGCGATCGCGACAGACTTGCAAAAACATACTAGTTAAAAAAGTTATTCAACCCAAGAAAAAACATTTGGATGGACACAAAATCAAACTACCTATTTACATATTAATGCTGGCCAACAGTCAGGATATGAATAATCTAAAAAAGGCGAACATCATCAACGACCATCTTTTTAAATGGGAGAACTATAAACCACCGGACGTTAAACAATGCAGAAAGTGCCAAACAGTAGGTCACACCTCTTATAACTGTACTTAAAATACAGATGCGTAAAATGTACTGAAGACCACTTACCAGGATAGTGTAAAAATTATGTGTTATTATATCATGTGTTATTATAAATAGTGCTATGTGATTTTTTTTTGGATAAATTTTCTTTCCTCTTTTTTTGTCACACAAATATGAATTTATTTATATATTCTGAATTAATTATTGCTTGCAAAATCAAATCCAATGAAGGATACAATACCTACGAGTAAAAAACCCATGTTATAAAATGCAATGTACATACTTACATTTATTGAAATATAAATGTTTTTGACTTTAACTTGGATAGTGTAAAAAAACTAGCAATGAACCAGCAGAGTGTATCAACTGCAGAGAAAAACACCCTGCGAACTTTTCACGTTGTGAATTCTTGCTCAAGTACAAGGAGCAAAAGAAGAATAAATTTGCAAATTCACCTCATACGTCGAGGACTTATTCTGCTGACATCTCAGAGGCAAAAGAACAATGCAAATTCAGACCCCAAAATCCAGCTATAAACTCTTTGGCAGAACCGGACTTTAGCACGACAGAAGGGATTTTAAATGCAGCGAAACATATAAAATCAGCATTTGAAGATCCAGAAGTGGCAACAATATTCAAGGAATTATACACATTATCCATAGCTCTCAAGACAGCAAAGACCTATAGTGAAAAATATCATTTAATACTCGACTCATTAAAATCATGGCCTTGAACCAAACCTATAACATTAATGTAATTTACTTTAACGCAAATGGCACAAGAAAAATCGAACTGAACTTATTGAATTACTTGAAACTAAGAACATAGATATAGTCCTCTTAAATGAGACGCATTTACAAAAGAAAGATACTTTTTATATTAAAAATTACAAAGTGTATAGAACAGATAGAGAAATCTCTTCATGGGGAGGTGCAGCCATTCTTGTCATACGATGCATTAAGCATGAACAACTCAACTTACCAGAACAGAAGTACACTGAAGCGACTGCCATAAATATATTTATTGAAAATTCTAAACTGACAATAATATCTATTTATGTTCCGTGCAACAAATTATTACTACGTGATATCAAATCACTCATTAATGTTAGCAATAAAGTGTTTATAGCTGGTGACTTCAACGCTCAACATCCAA